AACAGGAGGATATTGACAAGGGTGGAGGAAATGAGAGACTTTGAAGTCCACAGGTCTCTGAAGGTGGCACGACTGGTAGGTAATGTGTTAAAGAAGGTATAAGGGGTGTTTACTTTTGTTGGGTGAGATATTGAGTGGAAGAGCAGGAATGTAAAGCTGGGACTATATAAGACATTTGGTTAGCACACAGCTAGAGTTTTGTGTATAGTTCTGGTCGCCACATTGTTTTGCTTCACTGGAGTAAGACACTGGAAACCAAGTCATGCCATTTCCTGAGTTATCACAATAGTTAGATATTTAAAAGTACACAGAATTCCTCAATTTATCTGATTTTTAGGTCCAGGTTGACAGAAAGCTTGGACAGGTTTCTGTACTTAACCAGATTTAGTATTTTTTCTCAGTATTTTGTCTATGGGTAAACAGTTATGATCTGTCCAGCAAATAAGTGTACCACTTAAAACTGTAATCTCCTTATAAACTCCCCTTTACACACACACATGCGCGCACACACACACAGTCTGACATGTAGTGAAAAAAAACTAGATGTTATGGAATGAAAATATAAATTGCTGGAAAAGCTCAGCAGGTCTGGCGGCATCTGTGGAGAGAAATCAGAGATAACATTTCAGGTCGAGTGACCCTTCCTCAGAGGTGTTATGGATAGAGGAAAAGACTGGGAGGGCGATTCGGTGGTTCCTGTAAATGGGGATATTGATATGGTTTTTATGACTCTTGTGCTGGTCAGAATGCAGCTTCTCAATGTTCTTTCTGTCGTGGTTTTCTTTGGTTTTCAGCAAGCAAAGGAGATTGGTTCACACTTACAGAAATGTCTCTGACTTAATAATTAGAAGTCACAGCTTAAGAGAAAAATAACTGAAAACAACAAATGCTGGAGATCACAACAGGTCATTCAGCATCCATAGAGAGAGAGAGAGAGAGAGTAAGCTAATGTTTCAAGTCTAGATGACTCTTCATTAGAGCTTTTAAGAAATGCTGTGATCTCCAGCATTTGTTGTTTTCAGTACAGATTCCAGCATCTGCAGTAATTTGCTGCTACATTGTGTTCAAAAGAAAAATAAATTGGTTTTCTTCAGGCTTAAAGTGGCTTTTGCTGAAGAACTGAGGTGGTGAAGATCTGATAGTTTCTCTGTATCTTGTTCACAGCCACAAGCTGTTCAGCTAACTGAAAAGCAATGACATATTTATTCTGCTGGAAGGCCTTTGTCATTGATAACTGGTCATTAGCTCCTTGTTACTAACCAAAGCTCCATCTGTACAGAACCTTTCAGCTTCAGCTCATCTGCAAACTGCTGCTGGAACTAGCAGCTGTGCAAACAGTGTTTACAGTGGGGATCAGGTTACTTCCTTTCAGAAACTATCGTAATCCTTCAGCCTCCTTGGTTTCAAAGCAGTTCTTTTCTCATTTCAGTCCATGATTTTAAAAAATCTGAAAGAAATAAAAAGACATGGTCTAAACAATATTACAGGAAGGACATAATTGTTGTAGGGAAAGTCAAGGGAGACCTACAAGAGCAAAGAACAAAGAAAATTACAGCACAGGAACAGGCCCTTCAGCCCTCCAAGCCTGTGCCGATCCAGATCCTCTATCTAAACCTGTCACCTATTTTCCAAGGATCTGTATCCCTCTGCTCCCTGCCCATTCATGCATCTGTCTAGATACATCTTAAATGACGCTATCGTGTCCGCCTCTACCACCTCCACTGGCAATGCGTTCCAGGCACCCTGTTACCAAGAATGTTACCAAGTTTTGTAAAAGATATGAGAAAAGTTTGGATAGGCTAGGATTGTTTTTCTTCAGCTCCAGCAAAAGCTTAACCAGTGCCTTAAATAGTCCCAGCATTACATTCCTGCTCTTCTATTCAATATCTCACCCAATGAAGGAGAGCACCCCTTGTCCCTTTTTTAACCACCTTATTCACCACTCTTGCCACTTTCAGAGGAAGCCAAGGGGTGGCTACATTGAGATGTAGAAAATAATGATGAGCTTTGATAAAGTTGACAGGGAAGACCTGCTTCCTCCACTGAAGAATTCAATTACTAGGGGTACAGACTTAAGATGACTCTTGATTTACTTGGTAGAAGGATTTGAACATGAGAGAAATAAAAAAGTCATCCAGAGGATGGTAGGTGTCTGGAATTTACTGCCCTATTTGCTGGTTGAGGCAGAAACCTTAAACTGACTTAAAAGGAACCTGGAACTGCACCCATAGGGCTGGAACTTGCAAAGCTGTGGACCAAGTGCTTCAACGTGGGATAAGAATAAGGAGATAATTTATTCAACTATTGCAAACATAATGGGCTGAATGGTTTCTCTCTGTGCTGTAACGTATCTATAGTTCAATAGTTCTAGGTGAGATGGCAGTGTAACAGTAATGTGGCTTGACTTGTAACACTAAGGTCCAGACTAATATCATGGAGATTTGAGTTCAATTCCCATTACAGCAGCTGGATCCTAGAATTTATCATTCAAAGCCAGTCTCAATAACAGTCTCAGTGACCGGGACTAGCATTGACTGTTCTTAAAAGCCCACCTGGTATAATGCTCTTTGCGTGACCCTAGATCAACAGTAGTGTAGCAGGCTTTTACCTCTGAAACAGTCCAGCAAATCATCAGTTCAAGGACAGTTGAGGATAAAGGAAAAAAAAGAACATGTAGTTGTGTGAGTATTATTAAATAATTCATATGGGCATTGCTGGTTAGGCCAGAATTTACTGTGAACCCCTGGATGCCTTAGAGAAGATGATGGTGAGCTGCCTTTTTGAACTGCTGCAGCCCTTCAGATGTAGGGGCACCCACAAAGCTGATAGGCACGGAGTTCCAGCATTTTGACCAAGTAACATTGGTCATATATTTCCAACTCACAATAGTGAGTCACTTGGAGGGGAACTTGCCGCTGGTGGTGTTCCCAAGTATCTGCTGTCCTTGTCCTTCTAGTGATCATGGGCATGGAAGGTTTTGTTCTATGTGCCTTCATGATCTGAATCTTAAGGGCAGAACATGCTGCTGTGTGTCAGTGATGAAGAGAATGCATGTTGAAGGTGGTGGGTGAGGTGCCTATTAAGCAGGATGGTATCCAGGGTGTTGTTGGAGCAGCAGCTATCCAAGCAAGTGGGGTGTATTCCATCATACTCCTGACTTGTGCCTTGTAGATGGTGTGCAGGCAATGGGGAAACAAGAGGTGAGGTACACACTGTAGGAGTCCCAGCCTCTGTATGTACACTAGAATAATTGTGTTTGTATACCATATATATATACTAGTGTGTTTCTCTGTGTTTTGTGTGTGTGTGTGTAAAAGCAGGAGTGGATTTGGCTGTGGTGCTACTCATAGTTGAAGCCCTCCAATACTGACATTCATCAATACTGACTGAACTACCATTAAAAGGTTGTTGTTGTGGAGAACCGCATCCAAACTTGAATCAGACTTCCAAACGATAATAAAGACGAGACTCGGGATAAAACAATTATAAAACACGATTGCAAATTCACTATTTGATGATTGAATTAAACATATACATCATTGTGCAACAAATTATTTCCATTTCCAACCAGAATCACTGCAGCATTCCATTTTTAAAAAAAACCGTACTAACTCAAAATGCAACTGCGACTAAAGTAAATGCCAAATCTTCATTGGTAGTAAAGAGAGACCCGTCTTTTGCATCCATTGATCGAAGTGTTCTGTGTGGTTTCTCTGTATTTAACAACCGCGTTTGTGGAGCCAAGATGCTTATGAAGGTAAGCACTCAGCTGTGTATAATCGGAACTGTTACATTGTTAATAATGAACGGTATTAACTCGGGGCAAAGTGGGTTCATATATTCGCTCAGACGGTAGCATTGTTTGAGTTGGGATCATTGGCTGGGATTCAGCGCTGCTGCTAATTCATTGAGTTTAAGCCTCAGTCCAGAATCTGGAGCACATTTGGAAGGTTGACCTTTCAATAGGAGCACTGAGAGAGTCGGAGATGAGCCAAGTGTTAAACTGAGGCTCGGTCCGCCTGTTCAAACGGATGTGAAACATCCTGGGGCAGAGATTCCAAGGAATAGCAAGAAGTTTCAGGCAGAGTCCAACCTGGTAATCTTTCCTCAGCTACAGAAACCGGTTATTTATCACAATGGTTCTGATGGGACATCCATTAGCTCAAACGGACAGATTCACCAGCTTCCAACACAAAAATCAGCCACTGCATGAATCCCTGTGGAAAATCCCTGGGAACAGAAAAACAATGCAAGCTCTTTCTTAATTGAACACCTCAATGACGCTGTGTCCTCACTAAAAGTGAAGGATCGAATCCAGCTGTAAAACCTTGGTGTACCCAGTGCCAAGGATTCATTTAAAAAAAAGAACAAGTAGATTGGATCCGAACCGATGAGGATGGGAACTGCGGCTCCCTGCTAACAATACAGCCACCGTTACAGCTCTTAGCGCTGCCCCAGACTTCACAAGGGTTTCTCTGAATAAATAATTCAGCATATCAAAAATACAGATCAGCGTTTTTAACTGCTTAATGTCTTTCCTTAAACTATTATTTTCTTCGTCTGTTTATTAATCAACCCCCACTTTTTAAAACAAAAACTTTCAAAACGCGAGTTACTTTCGGAATGAGGTTTCTGAGTTGTTCAGACTCTCGGATGGAAATGTACCTCTTCCCTCCACGCATATTCACCACCCCCGACCCCCCACAACCCCTTCGACAGATTGTGTGAACACTGGTATTGAGCAATTGGAGCTGGCTGATTTGGTCATTTCTGAGTTGGAGTGAACCATTTTTTGATGTACCTTTCAGCAATAACAAAAAAAAACTTCAATGTACCAATCACCAAGGCTGAATAGCTTGCCGTTAGAACTGGGAGGAGCATGTGAATGTTTATAGATCAGCAATGCTGTTGTATAAAAGCTGGGCTCCTGATTGAGAAGCCAAGCGCTGTGAAACATCCCAAATCTACTTCTGTTTCGCGTGTGCAGTCTGTTCAGCACCATGGAGAGCGACCGTCTATTCGCCGCCATCTACCTCTCTATACTTCTATCCCTGGCCAGCGGTTCTGACAGCTCGGATTTGGAGACCAGAGCCCTGAGAGATTTCTATCCCAAAGATCCATATCCTTCCAGCGAAAAGGAACTGGTCAGTATTATATCTTTGTTTCTGTTTCCTTAACTAAATGTTTCTTCAGTGCTCCTCATAGTGGGAGCTGGTTTCAGTACCGTTTAAGGTTCATAGTCAGAATTATGAACATCTAGTAACATTAAAGCAGCTAACTGGGGGTGCTGGGAGCCTGAAATAAAAACAGAAACTGCTGGAGGCACTCAGAAAGTCTGACAGCCTCTGTGGAAAGAGAGAGAGAGAGAGAGTTATGTGACCGTTTCTTCACTGGATGTATGTTTCCTTTTAAGGAATCTTTCGAAGGCGTTGATTTGACTTTTTTAAGAAAGGCATTAAAAGTTAAAACACAAAGACGATTTGAAGTGAGTGAACACATGAATAAAGTGATAGGAGATGGAGGGCCCGAAATTCCCCCATCACAGCGTGTGAGGGGTAATTTCAATGGACTCAGTCAGTTTCTGCCCGTCAATTTCATAGCAGCTTTACTGAGTCGGTTGGGGTGGGACAGCGGTTAAAATGTGACAGGAAGCATTCCATTTGAGGCGAGTATTATAGCAGTCCCGTGCTCCTAATAATTCCTGGAGGAATTTCGAGTCCATTTCAGCTGCTGGTGTTCAAGTGAATTCGATTAAAATGCTTTGAACGACTTTTTCTTACTGTGAACTGGTCTGGCCCACAGCTCGGAGCGCTGCAAGAAGTCTTGGAAAAGCTGCAGACGAAACGGCTCCCAGCCTGGGAGAAGAAGTTTGGACAAGTCCCACTGGTAACGTCAACCTGCTGTGATTCTGCTCTTTCTATTTTGATCCTTGTAGTGTCCTGGCTTGGTGGGGATGGGTGGGTGGGAGGGAGAAGATGTCCCTTTTGTTATTCAGGTAGGACATGGGCCAGCGGCTGAGTTACTGCCTGAGGGAAAGGCAGTGTCTACATTTGAGGTGGGACTCTCAGAGTCTACACCGAGCATCCTATAATTTCACTTGGACACCCTGTGTTTGCTGTCTCCATCAGAGTTTCTTCCCATGTCCTGTGAGTCGCTTCTGGGAACTGGGATTTCACCCAGTGGGATAGGAGAGGGATTGGTCAGTAAACAGCCCTAGCCTGTGATTTGGCTATCCAGACTGAAACAGACACATTTCTTTATTGAGTTGTTTATGAGGTATTCCCAGTATGTGTCTGACAAGCATTGAGAACATTTTAATTCTGTTCGGCATCAATCTGAGGCTGAGGGGAACGGCCACTGCGCTGGTTTCACACCGTCTCAAACCACAATGAATGGGAAGAGATGTGGATTAAATCGACAATTTACAGGACAATTTGCTTTCAGTTTCCACCCATCACGTCCCTTGGCTCTAACACTGCATCGTCCATGGGAAGTGAGCCCAAAGGAGAGCACTAGCAATTTCTGTCAATAACCTAGCGCCAGGATAATATGTCCTGCCCACTCCGTTAGTGACAGAGCCATCTCGCATTAAAGGTGGAAACCTGTAGGACCTTTGTTAAGCAATCGGGGCTGATCTTCAGCAGTTCTAATCCTGTCTTGGGACTATCACCCCTTAGCGCTGCCGGGAGGTATGCACCAGTGTCTACATTGACAATGACCTACTGTCATTGCATTTCTGTAGAACATGAAAGAGTTTCATACTGAGATCTCTATGACCCCTCATGTCTAGGCCCTTCGGAAATGTAATTTCACCATCACCTATGTAGAGTCATAGAGCTGTATAGCAAGGAAACAGACCTTTCTGTCCAACTCGTCCATGCCGACCAGATATCCTAAATTAACCTACTCCCCACCGTATTCAACACATTTGCCAGCAGACAGTGACCAGAGCATTGAATTATGTTTGCCTCCACCCCACCTCATCTACATATTTAGGGTAACATAGCCAGATATCTGCCACCTGGAGTCATGTATTTGACCTCAGTGTCCGGTGTTGAAAAAAGAGACATATTCTGTGTTCCTGCTCCTTTCAGTTGGAGTAAGAACCCAGTGAACCACTGTGCAAGACAAGATTCATACACCTACACACTGCCCAAACCCTAGCGAGCGGCCTGAAGAAGACCAAAGAGGGCCAACTGGTGAGGAAGGAAGTGCCCGGAGAGTAAATAAATATTCTTGCTGTTCATTCTGGTAGAGTCCTTCTTTTGGTCCATATCATAATTTCTCCCTGGGAGGGTGAGGTTCAGGATAAGGGAGCAACTTAAAACATTGCCTTTTCCCAGTTTATCTTAACACAAGAGGTTTCTTAAAGGGACTGAAAAGTGCATTTGAGAAAGTGGCATTATGTGCACAAAGGAATTTTCTTGTCCAGTCATGACCTGACTTTAGTAACTCCAAACTTGGAGGAGATTTAAAAGATTTCACTGGGGCAACTAATGTAAATGTTGCTGGAGACTTGCAGAAAACTGAAGGGATGACCAAATAAAGATCAAAGATAAATCTGGACTATTTATTTCATCACCACCTCCCAAAAAAATCATTGAAACATGGTCCTGTATTAAATAATCAGTATGGTAGCACAGTGGTTAACAGTGCAGCCTCAGTGCAGGGGACCAGGGTTTAATTCAACCCGTGGGTGACTGTCTGAGTGGAGTTTGCACATTCTCTCCGTGTCTGTGTGGGTTTCCTCCGGGTGCTCCGGTTTCCTTCCACAGTCCAAAGATGTGTGGGTTAGGTGGATTGGCCATGCTAAATTGCCCATAGTGTCCAGGGATATGCAGGGTAGGTGGTTTAACAATGGGAAATACAGGATTATAGGGATGGGATGGGTCTGGATGGGATTATCTTTGGAGGGTCAGTCTGGACTTGATGGGCTGAATGGGCTTCTTCCACACTTTTGGGAATTCTATGGATAATCCTCTTTGCGGCAATTTGATGATTTATTACGGGTGGGAAGCCATGCCCAGGAAATGAACACTATCTCATTCTAACAATGACAGAAAACATATCACACTTAGTGAAGTTAAATTTAGTCTTTGAAATTGATTTGTATGCTGGTGATAAAGATCACAAACAATAGCCCTTTTTTTTATCTGAATAATTTGTGGAGGTGAATGCAGTTTTTTTTTCTGTTGGAAGAGTTTGTCACCATTTTTTTGGACTGAACAAATTTTTCCAAACTTGAAATGAAATAACATTTTCAGTGAAGCTAAGTGTGAGGATTTTAATTTGCTTTTAGTTCTCAACGAGAGTTAACAGGAAATTTAACTATGTAATTGAACGCAGCATATTTTCCAGCAGTTATAATGTAACAACATTAGAATTAGGAGCACGAGAGGCCACTCAGCCCTTTATACCTGCTCTGACTCATTAGATTATGGTCTTAAGTCTGCTTTCCTGCCCACCATGACCCTCAAGTACTTAGATTTTTCATGATGAGAATAATCTAAAGAACTGTGGATGCTGAACATCTGAAATGAAAACAAAAATTACTGGAGAAACTCCGCAGATCTGGCAGCTTCTGAGGAAGAGGTAGAGTTAGTGTTTCAAGTCCTGTGACCTTTCTTCAGAACAGTTCTTTGTTGAATTTCTCCAGCAATTTCTGTTCTAATCATGAGAAGAGTTGGGGCCAGTTATTGAGTCCCTGCTAGCAGTCCAGGACAGAACAGGAATCAAACTTGTGCCCTTCACCAACTATATTGACAAAAAATGATGGTACGTGAACAATGCATATTGTCAATGTGCAAAGGACCCACAAAGACAAACCCCATCAATTTTAAATCATCACAAATAGCTGGACAATTTGCAACACTCAGCCCTTAGTTTGATGAAAAGGATATCTCACACTTAACTTCCTCATTATAAAGTTTTTGCACATGCATTAGCTAATAACTTTCCATAGGGAGTTTAAGTCCAGTAATTAGCAGTGCAAGTAAACTTTGAATTGATCATTGTTAGGCAAAAAAAAAATATGCTGGGAAAATGAAACAAAAGCAGAAAACACTGGAAATGCTCAGCAAGTCAGCATCTGTTGAACAGGAAATTAAGTTTCAAACTTATGTCAGAGTTCAATGGATTTCAGTGATTGAAAATCGAGTTCTTTTGCCCAGGTAGTGAACAATTAAGAGTGTGACGTCTCATTCCTTCAGGCTGTGAATTGTTTTAGAACAATTTTCAAAATGTATGATTTCTTTTTTCTTTTTCTTTCTTTTCTGCCTCTTTCTCTCCACTCTTAATCAAATCTTATCCGCCCTTTTGGAAAATCTCTTTTGACACCCAATTTGACTTTGACTACACATACTCTATAACATCATTCTCCTCAGTTTTCCTTTATTTCTCAGTTCTAAAATCTTCTTGGGTGAGAAAGTAGACTGTTGTTGGTCCTTTGACCCCTGAGGTGCCAGATGCTCCATAGGTTTTGCTGAACCTTTATCAACTTGTACTTCCAGCAATAATGGCTCAAGAAGATAGTTGGGCTGAAAGGTAGAGAAAAAGATCTAACATTATGAGATGCACCAATCCAGATAGATCTAACCCTTTCTTTTCCTTATAATGATTTTAATGGCAAATATAATGTCTAGAATGAATTTGAACAATACGGGCCAGAAAACCACTGGTTCGATTGCCAATTGATAAGGAGTTAAGCAATCTCAGTGCTTCAGCAGTAGGGATGCTATCATTGCTGTTAGCATTCCTATGCTAAAAAGCAAAATAATCCTCCTGGCAATTTATCATTCATTAATTCTGCTAGAAAGTGGACATTTGTGAATTGTATTTGACAGTGATAGCTTTATAATGGAATAATGGACAACACTTATATATTAAGCTTAGATGTAACTTATCATATCCACTTGGATGAAATGCCAGAGGACCCCTCACAATCATAAGTGTCAGCTAATACCTGTCAAAGAGGACATAAAAGAACCTTTGTGCAGACTATAGCACTGTATCCCTCTACAAATTGGAAATCCCCATGGACATGGGCAAGATTAAATTGATTTGGTTCTTTAAGCACTTGATAAAATGTCAGTAATGTGGATAAACTGAGTAATGTCCTTATAGCCAACTTGTCTAGAGTAATTCAGAGTCTTGTGTGAATTTAATCATCAAACAGTAATTCATGAACTTGGTTTTTTTTCAAATGTGTTTATTTATTCATGGAGTATGGGCATCACTGGCTAAGGCAGCATTTATTGTTCATCCCCAAATGCCCTTGAGAAAGTGGTGGTGAGCCGCTCACTGACTTATCCCCACTGACTTGAGTCATCATTAAGGAATTCAAAATCATTTCTCTTTTTGGACTTACAGTTTAGGGACTATAGGATGAAGAATGGCTGTGATTTGGACCAATTTCACACCCAGTTAATGTTAAACTCTCCTTGATAAGAATCACTTTGTAAATTGCACACCAGCATTGTACTTCTTTTTCAGTCTCAGAAGCTGTAGATCCATTTCTACCTCCACCTCTCTCTCTTGTTGAAGACACAGCTTAAAGGCTGCTTCTTTGATCAAGATTTTGGTCTTAACATCTCATTTTACAGGTCAAATCTTGTCTGAAAAAACTCCTGATACCTTTTACTACATTGAAAGTGCTAGCTAAATGCAAGGTTGTCGTCTAGCAAACCTATTATTCTTGTTGCCTCATTACCCAATTACTACTCAATTACACATAACTTTATGTTAGCAAATGAATTCCTATTTCTTCAAATCTGTTTTGTTTACAAGTTGAGAAATCTTTGTTCATAGAATCAATGAACAAAAATTTTGATGTTCAGCAATTGCAGCATTCTGATTAGATAAATTGTCCTGTTTATACACAGTTCATTCTACATAATGGTATCTTCTGTATCCACTAGAGGAGCCTCAGACTGCCCTAAAGTCTTTAACCAGTAAGGTCTTGTTTTTGTCTATTTCCAGTGTGATGTTGGGGAACAGTGCGCTGTCAGAAAAGGAGCCAGGATTGGGAAGCTCTGTGACTGTCCCAGAAGTTCTGGCTGTAACTTCTTCCTGCTTAAATGCTTGTAGAGAACCCAAGATATTTGCCAATATCATTTCTATTTATAACAGGTAGAAGCAGAACATGAAGACATCTGGTGGACATATTTTACATACAAAACAGCGTTAGTGCTCCATACTGTAGTACATTGACCTGTTCCTGTACAACTGCTTTGTTTTGTCTGTGTTTCACTGCTCCTGGAAAGACTGAATCTACTATTAAATATGTTATCCTTGTTTTCTTACAGCAGTCTGTCTGGTCTCTAGATTCCTATGTTCAGTACAAGAATAACCAGTTTTGGTGCCGTATTTACTGGTTGTAATGATGTCTGCCTCGAAATAAAATGGTCTTTCCTTCAAATGCCAGGGATGTTTTTTTTATCTAAATACAGCTGCAACATTTTAAAATGTTGGGTCAACTCAAAACTCTATTGTAAGCTGGAACATATTTTTGTTTTAAAAATTATTCTCTGGATTAGGCATTGCTGGCATCTGTTGCCCATCCTTAAAAAGACCCAATTCATTCAGAGAACCAAAAGAACTGTGGATGCTGTAAATCCGAAACAAAAGCAGAAGTTGCTGGAAAAGCTCAGCATGTCTGGCAGCATCTGTGGAGAGAAATCAGAGTTAATGTTTTGGATCCAGTTCTGAGGAAAGGTCACTAGAACTGAAATGTTAACTCTGACTTCTCTCCACTGATGCTGCCAGATCTGCTGAACTTTTCCAGCAATTTCTGTTTTTGTTTCTAATTCACTGAGAGATTTGTTAGGCCCATCTCAAAAGGTTGTTAAGAGTCAACTGTATTAATATAGGGACAGGACTCACAACATATACCAAACGAGGTAATGAGGGCAGATTGCTTTCCAGTAAAGGGTGTGTACAGTGTCATTCTGCTGTGAACATACATCTTGAGTATCATCAGGATGGAAATCCAGGAAAGCTAGATGAAAGGTGAGATGAACAGATTGGGTGTCTCTTAAAGAAGAACAAAGCAGATTGCTTAACTATAAACCCGTGGAGGGTTTAACTTTTTCTGCTTCAGAATTTGCTCTGTGGGAACAATAAATACTTTCTTTGTTGTGACCTTCTCCCCACACTGGTTCTCCTTGGTCCACACACCATAAGAAGATAAGGACATAAGAAATCAGTGCAGAAGTAGGCCATTCGGTCCCTCAGAGCTGCTGCATTAATCAATAAGATCAAGACTGATTCTTAAACCTCATTGCCGTTTCCTGCTATAGCCCACATCCACTGGTTCCCTTAACTTCCAAAAATCTATTGATCTCAGCCTTGAACATACTCATATCCACAGTTCTCTGAGGTATAGATTGAGAATCATGGCAGTGAAGGAACTAAATCCAATATCCCCTCAACATGGCACCCCACACAGTTGCTCTTCCAAGCAACATCTCCGCACTCCTGTATAGACAGAGTCCAACTAGGATCAATCTATTAGAGGCATCATTTCCCACTTTGACATTATCCAATTCTTTAGACAGCCATTTTATTCTGAACTCTGGTAAGTCTACAATTGCCTTGATCTAAACTGCACAATCAAGAAGGGAGTTAACGATAAAATCATGACCTTCCTTTTAAACTGCAGAATGTCTATTGGCTACACTGCATTGTCCTATTTATAAAACCTTATCTCGTTTAACATTCTAGAAGGGATGTTTTCTTTGAATGGTCATTAATATTGAAAAGTGAAATGTTGAATGTGTTTTGCCAGTCTCTTTTGCCATATTGAGACATCCAAGTCATATTTGACAAGTTTACCAACAGTAAGCAGAGGCCTAACAATCGTTAGAGACAGGGAACCATTTGGTCCTGAGGATGGAAATTGTTCCAAGTAACGTTCTACATCAAACACTATTTACAATGAGTTGAAAAACTCACTCACTTCTCTCCAGCCTAGGTGCGGGAGGTAAAAGCAGTAGGTCTAATCACTTAGTCTTCATTACCAGGAAACCTCAATAAAGCAACTCCAGCCAGATTAGAATTAATTCCTCAATTCTCTGAAATTAAATAGATTGGAAACATTAGTTTCAGACACTGAAAGACCTTAATCAAAATTCATAGTTACACAGCACCATTGAAAAGAAGTTCACAGAAATTCAGAAGTAGTGATTAGGTGACATCAAGATTAGGTTTAGGAAGTTTATTGATAGTGGTAGAAAGAAAATTGAGGGAGATAAGTTCCCCCACACTGCTATAGAAGAAGTATAGAAGAAGAAGAAGAAGTAAGAGATGTACAATTAGTCTCAATTTCAAAACAGCAAGAATGAAGAGGAAAAAGAATGTGAAGGATATAAAGGAAAGCTTAGAGAAACAATTGGCAGCATAATTAGATGAAGACCTGAAAAGCTTTGATGGAGAGGAAAGATCACTTGACTGGGTTACAGCAGCAGGATAAGGATTTAATTCAGTATACTCCATAATTGGAACATATAAAGATCTCCCCATTTCATCATTTATTTAAGAAATCTGTTCATCTAGAGGCTTTCATTTCTCTGCATTATCTTTGGGTAAGCCAGCCATGTTCTGTGATATCAAAACAATAAATCCCTCTATTTTACAAATTCCATCTTAACTGCACACTGATTAGATTCTTGACATTGGTAACCGATGAGAAATGAGCTAATGTGTTTCTGAGTCTCTGTGGGTTAATAACTGTGGAGATGATTCATAGGACGAAAGCACAAGCAATCATGAGATTAAAAACAACACAGAGATTGGTAACGTATCAACAATTTGTTAAAAATAAAACTGAATCACTTGTGATACCCTCACTGCTGCACCAGCCAAGATGAGCCAGCACCATGCAACTAATCTTGGACCCCTTGATCTAATTGGGGAATGTATTTGTCACTGATTCATTTACTGCATCACTTTAGGATCAGATTTCTCTTTGGCCTCACCTTTCCCTGATTCTGGAACTCATCCAGCAATCTGCTGTCTCTTCTGCGATCTCCACCAAAATCTTCTCCAATTCTGTGCATACCTGATTTGAGTTGTTCCATTATTGGTGGTCATGAATGATGGAATTTCCTTCATAAACTTTTCCAATTACTTCATCCTCCTATAAGATGATTGTGATAACTTATCTAGGAGAACCTACCTGAACTGGGGAAGTTATAATGGGGAACAAAGACATGGCAGACCACACTATGGTTCTGTCTTCATAGAGGAGGACAAAAACAACATTCCAAAAATATGGGCGAACACAGAGCCTAACAAGAGGGAAGAACTGAAAGAAATCAGTCTCAGTAGGAAAATAGTGTTGGGGAAATTGATAGGATTAAAGGCCATTAAATCACCAGAGCCCAGTACTTAAGGAAGTAGTCCTAGAAATAATGGGATGCATTGATGATCATCTTCCAAGATTCAGAAACAGTTTCTATGGATTGGAGAGTAGCTAACTATTTTTTTAAAAATAAGGTAGAGAGAAACCAAGGAACTAAAAGATGGCTGGCCTGACATCAATAGTGAGGAAATATTTAATAGTACAACATTTGGAGAACAGTGATGGGATCAGACAGAGTCAGCATGGATTTGTTGCACCTGCAAACCAGCAGTTTATGATTCATGTACCAGGACCACAGGGCCAGGGACCCAGGTTCGATTCCACTCTTGGGCGACTGTCTGTCTGGAGTTTACACATTCTCCCCGTGTCTGCGTGGGTTTCCTCCGGGTGCTCCGGTTTCCTCCCACAGTCCAAAAATGTGCAGGCTAGGTGGATTTGCCATGCTAAATTGCCCATAGTGTTCAGGGATGTATAGATTAGATGTGTTAGCCATGGGAAAACGCAGGGTTACAGGGAAAGGGTAAGGGGATGGGTCTGTGTGAAATGCTCTTCAGAGGGTCAGTGTAGACTTGTTGGGCCAAAGTCCACATTGTAGGGATTCTATGACTTGTATGACCCCTACATTCCCCTGCACCACCAAATTCTGAGATCTCTCTCCATTTAAATTGTAGACTGCTTTTATATTCTTCCTGGCAAGGTGGACAAGTTCACAGTTTCCCACACACTGCTGCGTATGCTGAATATTTTTACTCACTTCCTTGACCCATCTATATCACACTTCAGGCTCGCTATCTCCTCTTGTGACTTACTTTCCTACCTATCTTGGGTGTCATTAGTAAAATGATGCCACTAAATATGCAGGGCCTTCATCCAAATCATTAACATAGATTGTAAACTGTTGAGGCTTCAGAACTGATCCCTGTGACACTCCATTAGTTACAGCTTGTGAACCCTGATAGGACTATTTATCCTTACTCTACCCTTCCTGTCTGCTAACTAATCCTTTATCCAAGCTAATACTCTACCTTCTACATTATGGTCTCATCTATTGTACAGTAACCTTTGATGTGGCACCTTATCAAATGCATTCCAAAATCCAAGTACACCAGATCAACATGTTTCCCATTATCCACTTTGTATGTTACTTTCTCAAAAATCTCTAATAAATTAGTTAACCATGATCTCCCTTTCACAAACTATTTTCCAATCTTCTGAGGTCCTTCCAGAATTGAAGGAATTTTGAAAGATTGTAACCAACGTATCGCCGAGCCAGTGGGTTTGATTGCAAACGTTTCGTCACCCTGCTAGGTAACATCGTCAGTGCGCCTCCGGTGAAGCGTTGGTGTTCTGTCCCACTTGTTATTTATATGCCTCAGTTTGCTGGAGTGGTTGGTATTACTTCCGGTTCTGTTTCTCAGTGGTTTGTACAAAGGGTCTAATTTAATGTGTTTGTTGACGGAGTTCTGGTTGGAATACCAGGCCTGCAGGAATTCCCTGGCATGTCTCTATTTGGCTTGTACGATTATCGATGTGTTGTCCTAGTTAAATTTGTGTCCTTCATTGTCCATGTGTAATAAAACAAGTGAGAATTGGTCGTGTCTCTTGGTGGCTAGTTGGTGTTCATGTATCCGTATGGTCAATTTTCTTCCAGTTTGGCCTATATAGTGTTTCTCACAGTCCTTGCATAGTATTTTGTATATTGCCCCAGTTTTGCTGATTTTGCGTATGGGATCCTTTACATTCGTCAGTAGCTGTCATAGGGTGGTGGTTGGTTTGTGGGGCTACTCTGATACCTAGGGGTCTGA